GAGGGTGGTGAGGCAGTGGAATAGGTTGCCCAGAGAAGTTGTAGATGCCCCATCCCTGGAAGTGTTCAAGGCCAGGTTAGATGAGGCTTTGGGCAACCTGGTGTAGTAGAGGGTTTCCCTGCCCATGGCAGGGAGGTTGGAACTAGGTGATCTTTGAGGTCCCTTCCAACCCTAACCATTCTATGATTCTGTGATTCAGCCTAAAAAATATTCAGTAACTTCAACTTTTGTGTAGTTTAGTAGGAAATGAAGTTTGCTAGGGAGCATTGGAGAGTTTTTCAAGTCTTTGACAGATTGATCTTCTCATGCCAATTGAAGTATTTATACTCAACATAAACTCAGTAAACTCAGGGAAGAGAATCTGTGTGTGTCTCAGTGAAATCCACTGTTCAAGTTTACTGCTGAATAGGAATGAAGATTTGATCCGTGCGCAAGCACTCTGGGATTTTATGCTGGTTGAAATATACAGAGGAACTTTTGATAATCTTTTTGAAAAGTTTCAGAACAAAATGTGCATGTGGCAAGGTTGAAGAGATTATAGAGGGGCAGATTTTTCACTATGTTTTCCCTTTACTGCGGACATTGCACATCTATACAAAATCATGCTCATTCCATTTTTCTGTACTATTTGAAGGGTAGGATGAGGATGGGATGGGGATAGTAGAGGGTAGGATGTAAGAATATCAAATATGTAATACATGTTGCCAAGTTCCTTCTGTCCATTACTGATAGAAACTCGTCTTCATGCAAATGCATAAAAGGAAATGTGAAAACTCAGGCGTACTGCAGCTAACAAAATATACATTATTACAATTGCTTTTAATGAATTACCATGTCAGGTGAAAACTGTTAGCTGGGATAGATTTTAGAGATAGTGTATAATGTCAGCACCAGAATCTATCAGGAGCAGGGCATCAGTTTTCAAAAGCAGTACTTCAATACAACTTTATATGACTGTCTGTCCTCCTGTAATTGGTCTTGTATATTGCTTATTCCTTGCAATTTATTTTCCTATGGCATGTACAAAGTAGATTTCATTTCTTGTTTATGTGTACTCAGTTTATTCTTTTCAAATATTTTTAAAGTCCATTAAAAAATCTTGAATTGATTTTGTACCAGCTTCTTCACTGGAAGTCTGAATTGATTACTTCCTTTGTTTTCAAGATAATATTAATCTGAGACAATGATTGGTTTCTAGTCTGTAAGTCAGTGTAGAAATACATAATTCTTACAGAATTTTACCTCTTTACTAAATTGTAGCAGGCTGTTCCATTCTTATTTTATAGGTGCATCATTGGTGATCTGGTGGCTTATGATAAGTAGGAGCCTTTCTGACAGTAGAAAATAAATAGCTCCGTTTTAAATAATCTCTAGACATTTAATAGAGCCCCATAACATAAAAATTGGTGGATCCTTTTTCCTTTCCTCTCTTTCAGTATGATCAAGTTTACTAGAAATTTCTGTGTAAAGTTCCACCAATACAGTCAAACACATACAGAAAGCACTGATCTGAAACTTTCCTGTAGTTTTTCAACTTGAGCCACTTTTTTCTCTTTTGCTTAAAAAATTTACTGTTCAGCAGGAAATAAGATGGTCTGAAGCTAGCAACCTCAAAAAAAAAATCATAGGCTGTAGCATTGGAAATCATGTTCGGATCGTACCAACTGCATTTTATTTAGACAGTATTCAATTAAGTGCACTCAGATATGTATCAAATCTTTTTTTTTTAATCTTGTCTTAATGAGATCATACCATTTTGGTGGATAAAAGAGGCCCTATAAGGCTCCAAATTCCTTCATGTTGAAAGGAGTCAAAAGAAGAAACTGGTCAACCAGGAGAACACACTTGGAGACCTTTCCATGCAACAACAGTGAGAAGATACTCCAGCCTCCACCCTTTAGCATTCATAGGTGTAATCCCCTCCTTTTTCTTCTCAGAAGTAAGGCAAATAGTATCCATTCTGCCTCTACTGCAAGATTTACGTAAAGATGCTTATTCTAGCCTTAGTATTGCTGTAGGAAGTCAAATATACTACACAGCCACCAATAATGGTGTAGACAGGCATAATGTAAGAAACATGAAAGGTAGATCTCATTTTCCATGGATTACCCAACTGCTAGTTTATTTCATTTTATCTTACTGATCTTCAATAGGAACTAGGGTTTTTTTAGTATGTATAATAAACTATTCTTCTACATCCTGGTCATATATTATGTAAAATCACCAGTGCTTTACCCTCATCCTTATTTGCTTAAAATAATGAACCCAAGAAAACTTGAGTCCTATGAGAAAAATCCTAGTTCTGCTTTCCTGCATTGCAGTGTACTGAAAGGAAGCAGCAGTTACAACTTTTCAGCCACAGCTTAGAGGATTTCCTCTAAGAATTCTAATTCCAGAGAAGGAAGCATATTTTTTCCTGATGAATTGGATGACAAAACTAAGGAATTAGTTAAAATACTCAGCTTGCTTTCTCCTTGGTGTTTTTTTTTGTTGTTGTTATTGTTTGGGGTCTGGAGTGAGTTGGTGGGTTTTTTTGGGGGGGGATGATTTAATTTTTTTACATCTGATTCACAGAGAATAAAGGGGAAGAATGCATCAGGAATTTCCTAAGATGCTTTAGTAACTCAAGGAGCTTGTATCTCCTTATATCAATTAAGTTACTTTTGGTTTTATCAATTAAAACTGTAATATCTCTATAGCTTTTTGGGATTCAATACACAAGTCAATGAATTGATAGCTTGTCAGTGCTCTCTTTTAAGACTGGCAATCATTTACAATACCCACACGCACACAAAGAAGTTGAAATTAAACAGTCACTAGCGATGGAAAATCTCACCTCAGGCATGAAGAGAAACCACAGAAAGTTGCAATTGTAATATTTGGGGGTGATCTTTGAATCTACTGTTTTATTTCTGGAACAACATCTGATGTTTATGTTGTGTGGCATTGTATCATTAGAACTGATAAACATCTGTTCCATATTTCATCATCTGGAAAGACCAATTAAAAAGAGTAGCCCAAAATGGTAGCTTTTAGTTTCTAACAGCAATGTAGCAAGGAGATAGTAACTAATCATGGGTACATCTTAAAATGAAATGAGGGAGCAGCTTAACAGATTAAAACTCAGCTCATCCTTATATACTGCCATTGGAGACTTTCTAATTATTTTTTCCTACTAGTTTTCCATTGGTTTTTGATTTTCTCTTTTCATTAGAGAGCTCTCGGTCAGATTCTTTTCTCATTTATACCAGTGTAAATCTAGAATAAGTCCTTTACATTTAATGGAATTATTCTTTATTTACTTTAGTGAGTCTAAGAACAGAATATGACCCTTTTTCTTTAGCAGTAACCAAACTGTCCTTCTTAATTTTGAAACCACGCTGAATCAAGCTTAGGTGGAAATAAAGGTCTCCAAAGTTTGAATAGACTAGATTTTCTTATTAGGAAAAGACATCCATTAAAGAGGACAGTGTGCTCCCTTCCTACTGTGTAGGAAGGTGTTGCATTGAAAAGCCTGGGATTTTAAATTACCTGCCAAACAGAATTTAGCTCTGGATGCCTCAAAAGTAACCTGATCCTGCAATGGGAGAAAAAGGAACCAGTTGCTTTTATATTGTATCTTCCTAGAGGTGATCACTGGGGAAGACTTTGTGCTATACCCGCAGACAAGTGTATGGCTTGTTGGTAACATGATTCAGTGGTCCCCCAAAATTTGTTTAGTGGCTGCTGCCCAACAGCACCATAAGCCTCAGAATAATGTCGTGGCTGTGGCTGTTCTGTGGTCCCCAACACCACCCCTCAGCAGCATGAAATATCATCAGTAATGAGAAGACAATGAAAATGGGGTATTGTGGGGACAGAAAATCAAATGCAGTGTTTATTTTCAGAAGAGACATCATAAAGTAAAATTGTTTAGATTTTGAACTGTCAACGAAAATGTGTAGCCTATAACATCTCCACTGTTTCTCCTCTCATTTTCCTGCAATGTTTCTATATAGGTTGCTATATCTTCCAGCCCTCCTTCCAAGCAGATTGTATCTGTCGTCACCAAAGAAAAAGAAATATGTATCAGCATATGTGGCGATAAAATTTTCAATAGGAAATAATCATTTTAGGACAACTTTTTCTGCTAAATGACTTTGAGAAAGAGTTTCCCTATTTTCCTGAAAACTATTCCTTTTGACAGAATCTCAGCTTGGTAACTTGGTAAAGTCTGAGCCTTCCCAGACATTAATTAGTTTGAAAACACAGGATTTTTAAAGCACTTTTCCTTCCCAGCGACAGCACAATCATACAGGAATTCTTTCATTTGCCATAGAAAAGTTCTGTTTCTTTCCTCTGTTTATTAGCTGTTTTTAAAGCAGGCACCAAAGATCCTAATGAAAACTGATAAAATCTTCTTAAGCCTTGTACCCAAAGGTCGTAAGAGTTTAAACAAAAAAGTTGCTTCTATTTGAACCATCAAAGTAAACTACTCAAGTAGAAATTATGATGCTTCAAATACAAAGTCATTATTTTAGCAGTCCTGAATAAGGATGCCAGAATTTTGTCCTAAATAATTTTTAACAGTACCATTTCTGTTGACTCTGCTACCTGTTCTCCCATGGAGTAGAGTATGTTAGCAAAGTCTTATGCAGAATTAGGAAGGAAGAGCAGTGGACAGATCCTTTAGAGGGTGGGGAATCAGCTGGTCTTTATATGACAAAATTCACGGATCCACTGATCAACAGTTTTAGACAGGAGATATTTCATACTCTGCGTTGCTAGGACCAGTGATAATTATATAGGTCTTTGAGAACAGCCATCACTCACATTTAGAAAGATAAATTCCTCTGACTTTTGCTACTGATGAACTGTTCTTCTCCATTCCTGTAACAACTACATGGAGTGACTTTTAGTATGAGAGACGAAAATTGCAGGACATTGTTAAAGTTTTTTATTAACAATTTGTTATTGTACCCTTCATATTCTGGAAGTTTATTTTCTTTTTGCTGTTACAGCGACGTCCAAGCAGATGGCCAGCAATGAAATTCAGAAGAGGGTCTGGACATCCTGCCTATGCTGAAGTGGAACCGGTTGGAGAAAAAGAAGGTTTCATCGTATCAGAGCAGTGCTAAAATTTCTAGGACAGAACACCAGTACTGGCCTACAGGTGTAAGACATTTACTTTGCCTCTCTTTAAGGAAAAGGAGCTCTAAGCTGCTGTAGCCTGATAGAAAGAAGATTTTGGATAAGCTTTGTCCAAGAAGAAAAACTAAGATACCAGATTACCACTGCACAGTAGTTTTTGTTAGTGGACTGAGACACGATGGTTCATGCAGAACACTTGTCAGTGGACACCTATGGTATCAGAACTATGGCACAAGTGCCATGTTATTGGCTTTAGGTATGGGGATGCACAGTAATCGAAAGTATAATAAAGCTTTGGTGCACAAGGATGCTGCCCTTTGGTTCAAGTGTTCTTCTCTGGTATCTCAAAGACTGAGTGACAAATCTGTACCCTTTCAGTGCAAAGAGCACTGATCAGTGTTCGCAGGTGATTGAGAAAAGTATCTCAATGCAGGTAAAGAAGAAGAAAAGGAATTTTCCAATACTTCTATAAGCGGACATGAAATACACTCACTTTTCAATTCTAAATTAACCTACCCACCTAACTGAGCGAGTCACAATGTATATGCTTTCCAGGAGTAGTACAATGTTTCTTTTATGTTGCTGATTACTATCCTTCTAAAAAACTCATGATATAGAAATTGGTAAGAAACGAAGACAATAGAGAATTTTCACAATGGTGAAATTATTTTATTTCATGGGAGTTCACAATGAAATTGGGCTGATTTTCAGTTTCAATGCTCATTACAAATTAATTATCAGGTTTGTTTCAAGGGATATCTTTCATTTCTAAGCAGTAGGCTGAAGTAAAGGCAACATATCCTTTTAGTTGCCAGAGATCTTATGGACCATTTGTTAGGCAACGTGATACGAATAATAAGATTTTAAACAAAAGGGTTTCTATCCTTTGTTGTTTCATTGTTAGTCCTTACTGAGAAGCACCACAGACTACAATGCACCCCTTCCAGAGATTCAGATACAAGTGTTATTGAACCCTGCTGATTCATACAGTGATTTTGTTTAATGCACATAGTAGTTGCATAAATATATATATAAATATATTTTTTTTTATAGCTAACACAAGGCGGGCTCTTGTGACTGTTAAGACTGCATTTTTGTCATCCAGACAAAGGAAATGGATTGCATTACTGCATATTTCCACTGAGTTGTAAAATAATCCTTAATATTAGAATATTTTTATGTTGTG